CCATCCGGGATATTACGCCGTCTTGCAGACAGCTGCGCAGTGCGTCGTTAAGACGTAACCACCGCCGTTTCGCTAACTCGCGGTCAACGAAATCCTGTCGAGAACGAGGTTAGGCTTAACCAGTCGTAATCGTTACATCGTTGGTACTCGCACAAAGTTCCACAGGGTCCTGACAGCCACTGCATTGGGAGCAGTGAGGAGCATCATCAAGCAAGTACGCTCGCCTCCTTCGGGGGAGCCATCGACGCTGCAGCCACCACGGGCTGCATACTGAGTTGCTGCGGGTTCAGTGACGGACCGCTGCTACGGAAAGCAAACACGCAAGCACCACAAGCATCCAACAAGGTCGAGTATCTTGTAGTTTGGCTTCGTTTGCGTATGTTTTTGCATTTCCACGACGGGCTTATCTTTCTTGTGATTGGAAGGTAAGGCTCATTTTTGCACTTTGGGCGTGTCATTCATGTGTATGCCATATCCCGGTGCGTAGTAGGCGTTGGCGCTGCGGCGTCTGCAAGTGTACGCTAGGGCGCCGAGGCGCATTGCATTGTTCACCTAAACGTTCCTACAAAACTTGAAAATTAAAAATATCGCTTGAATGCTGTTTTGATTGGTACGTCAGCAGCCAGCCCTGCGGGGTATTTTGATTGTGTACGCGCTAGGATACGTTACATTCTGCGCAGCGTCTTTTAGGCAATCCTGCTTTTGATCGCTCGGTCCAGAGGAACTTTGCCAATAGACACATTAGGGTCTGCCGTGCGCTACTCGGCTACTGCCGGTCCTCATGGGGTCCGGCGTTACGCACCGTAGATTGGCTCAGACCCAAAGCTAGGACAAATTAAAAGTCCCCCTTCAGCTATTCCATACAAGCCGTTCCACTAGCAACCATGCACAGGTTCTACAGGACATGATGGGCAAAGGGATAGCTGGTTTGGTACTCGCTTATAACCTCTCAAGCATTACACATGCCCGGTGATTCCTCATGCTCATGTTGCTTCGGCTCCAACAAAGCCACATGCTCCGGCTCGCTCATGCTATCCTCACCATGCAATTGGCCGACAGGATCGCCACGCTCGCACGCAATGCTGTTGAATCAGGCTCAGAGAAGAGGAAGCTCGGGCGCCATTTGCTTGAATCAAGAGAGAGACTTGCAACTTTAGGAATGACACATCCGGTCGCAAAGTTCGCACCTAGTGTCACTCTAACCGTGCTGCACTAGCCTAGTCTCAGACTACTGTACAGCCTAAGCCCTAGCTCCGGCTAGTCTCGTTATGGTTTGAACTCGGCCGATGGTGACATTTGGCGCGGTTCCTCCGGCAAGCCTAGCCTAGTGTACATCAAATATAGGATATACTCTAGGCTATAGCCTATGTCTGCCGGGCCTTCCTACGCTGCTCCGGCCGCGGGTGCGCGCGCGCCGCGTCCTCCGGCACGCCGCTGGTCCGGCATGGCAGCTGCCGTGCGCTACTCGGCTACTGCCGGTCCTCATGGGGTCCGGCGTTACGCACCGTAGATTGGCTCAGACCCAAAGCTAGGACAGATTAAAAGTCCCCCTTCAGCTATTCCATACAAGCCGTTCCACTTCCCCCCCACTCGCTGGCCACGGCCTCCGTGGCTTCCGGCGAGTTATCCTTGCTGCGCGCCTTCCGCGCAGCTGGGGCACAACCATACTCCGGCCGGTACTTCCTTGACCGCCAGCTCCAAACACCCCATGTGGTACCCGTCCATACAGTAGTCACACAACAGCATGGCTCCCTGTCGGTTTGGGCTCTTGCACACTTGACAGACATGGCCCGCCGTCACCGTGGTTAGGGTGGGATCGACCGCGGTGTCGATGTTGGGGTTATGGCACGGCGCGCAGTTCTCCAGGTGCTCTTTGAACAGGGTTCCGTCTGCCCCCTGCAACACCAACCGCCCGTTGGCCCCCACTTGGTAGACTTTGTAAGCCCCCCGCGTCACCGCGACGTCCGTCTTGTCCAGAGGAGCTCGCCGGAGGTAGACCAAGTCCCCGACTTCAAACTTCGGCTGGAACCTCGTCTTCCGGACGTGTTCGTACCGTCGTTGGTCTCGTTTCTGCGCCGCCAACAGGTTCCCCAGGGCTAAGGGGATCTCCCGCCGGAGGACTTCCGCCCGCTGCTCGCACGCCGTCGCCTACGTCTCTGGATCGTCGAAGTCCATCGGCTCTCCCACCAGTTGTTTAACCGCCTCGCCGGTGAGCATGGGATGCCGGCCGTAGAGGAGGTAGTAAGGGGAGTAGCCGTTGAGGGCGGTTTGGGGACTCATCCGGTACCCCATGGCGAGGTAGGGCAGCCACTCATCCCAGTTGCGCCGGTCGGCGTCGGTGCCGATTTTGGTTACCCCTTGGATGATGGAGTAGACCAACCGCTCCGTCAGCCCGTTGGCCTGGGGGTGGTAGCGCGATGTAGTCCGGTGGTCGAGGTAGAGCTTCTGGCAGAGGGTGTCGAACTCCCCCTCGAACTCCTTCCCGTTGTCCGTGAGGACTTCTGCGCATGCCCCAAATCGTGTTAGTATGCCAAGGAAAACCTCTGCCACCTTTGCTGAGTGTTTGCTCGGCAGGGCCACCAGCTCGCACCATTTGGAGAAGTGCTCGACGATGACCAAGACGAACCGCTTCTTTGTCCGCGTCATCAGCAGCGGGCCCGCGAAGTCGAGACTCCACCGGTAGCCTTGCCCCATGATTGGTAGACTCTGCATCCCCGACATCTTGACGTTGAGGCTCGCTTTGGTGCGTTCGCACTGTGGGCAGCTGGAGACGCCGTGGCTCACCGTGTCGTACATCCCCGGCCACCAGTATGCTCGCCGGAGGAGCTGCGCCGTGCGCTTCTCCCCCCAGTGGCCCGTGTAGTCGTGGATTTTCCGAACCACATTCAACCGCTCCGACGGTTCTGGCACAACGCGCTCTTCCCCCCCTGCCAGACGGCGGAGGAGGACGTCCTTGGATGCGGTTTCTGTTTCAACCCCCTCCTGGAGTCTGTGGAACGTTACCCCGCTGGCGAACCGGTAGGACGCTGCCCGGGCGCGAACCCGTCGTTCCTCCGGCTTACCCCAGGTTTCGCGGAGCCGGCCGGTGTTAAGGAACTCGAGGGTGTGCGCGTCTTCCCAGATGTCTGTGCGCGCGCGCGCCTGGTTCCCCCCCAGATCGCCGTCCGCCGGAACAGGGAGGTTTGTGTCCACCGCTCCGTAGTCGCTGGGGCCCGGGATGGGGAGTTCCGACGGCAGGTTCTCGTAGTCGTGGGTTCCCGGCTCGTAGACCTCCCCCCCGGCTTCTTCCATACTCAGGGGCTCGGCCCCCTCTCGAGGTTCTGTGGCCTCGCTGGCCTGCCAGGCTAGCAAGGCCGATGGTCTTGTCCCCCCCCCAGCCGCTTCCTCCCCGGCCGCCGGAGGATCCTCGTGGACTCGGGCGCCGGTTAAGTCGTCGGTCTCGGGCAGAGGGCTCCGGCTCAGGCCATCGGCGTTCATGTTGATGAGGCCCTTGCGGTACTTGACCTCGAACTCGAATTCCTGCAGCATCAACGCCCATCTTGCGTGCATGCCGGTTAAGTTTGGGCTTGTCATGAGCCACTCAAGTGGCCGATGATCAGTGTAGAGGATGAACTTCCGTCCATACAAGTACACTCGGAAGTACCTCACACCCCAGACTGCCGCCAAGCATTCTCCGGCGTAACTGCTATAGTTACTTTCTGCCCGGTTGTTGCTCCGGCTGGCATAAGCAACCACTCTCTCCTCCCCAGCATCATCTCGCTGTTGCAGAATGGCACCGCACCCAGCGGCACTCCAGTCTGTGTGCAACTCGTAGTCACGGGAGGGGTCGGGTCTCACCAGAAGTGGCGCGCTTGTCAGCATCGTCTTCGGGGAATCCACCGCCGTCTTGCACTCCTCCAGCAGGTCTCCTAGGAAATCCACATCCTTTTTTAGCAAGTCGTTTAGCGGCCGTGCCACTGCGCTACACCCCTTTAGGAACTTCCGGTAGTAGTTCACTATGCCCAGGAACTGCTTAACCGCCGTCACACTGGTGGGGTAGGGGATGCGCTGAATGGCCTCCACTTTGACCGCTCCGGGGTTTGAGACCGACTGGGTTGACCAAGTGCCCAAGAAAGGGAATCTCGGGGAAGAGAATGCGGATTTTCCGCGGGTGTACCTTGATGTTGTGCCGCCGTAGCTCCTGGAACACGGCCCGCAGCGCCGCCAGGTGGTCGGTGAAGCCACGCGCATGGACGCTGATGTCGTCGATGAAAGCGCGCGCCACCTTCCGCAGCTGCCGCAGGACCCGGTCCATCAGCCGCTGGAACAGCGCCGGCGCGTTCTTGGGCCCGAAGGGGGTCCGCAGGGGCATGTAGATGTCGTCGTGCCCCCAGAACGCCAGCTTCCACTCGTCCCCCTCCCTGATGCGGATTTGATGGTAGCCCATCCGCAGGTCCAGGGTGGAAAAGCAGTCGCTCCCCCCCAGGTCGTCAAACAGCTCGTCGGCCACCGGCATGGGGTATTTGTCGGGGACGGTTTTGTCGTTGTGGGGCCGGTAGTCCCCGCACATGCGCCGCTCGGTCCAGTTTCCTTCGGCGTCCTTCTTGCGGGGCATGACCGTCGCTGCCACGAAGGGCTCTTTGACCCCCGGCGGCAGCTTCAACGGCGCGATCAGCTTGGCAGCCAGCCGCTCCTCAACGTAGGCCTTTAACAGCTCCGTCTCGTAGGGGGAGTACCGTCGGCGGGGGCTCCAGATGGGTTTGTCGTCCGTAAACTCCACCTCGAATTCCACCCCGTCGATCGCTGTGTCGCTGAGGTCGTAGATGGACCAGGCGAACACATCCGACATCTCCTCCAAGAGTTCCTTGACTGCCTCCCGTTGCTCCGGCTGTAGCCCCGGCCAAATCTGCTCGTCACCCCACTCAAACGGTTTCTCCGACCCCTTTGCTCCGAATTGGCTCGCCCCTTTCTCTGCCGGTGCCTTCCCTGCCGCTTGCGCCTGCAGCTTTGGCACTATCTCTCTTCCTCCTTCGGCAAGTGACCGCAGCCCCTCTAGGCCACTCCCCTTACCGTCCTTTCCTTCAGCCTTGTTGTTGACCGGGTCAGGCTCCCGGCGTTGCTCTTGCGAGCCCTTGGTGGGCTCTCCTCCTGCGCCTTCCTCCGGCGCCGCCCGTCTTCCAGAGACTGCAACTCGCCCTAGGGACCCCCGGCCCCTCTCTCCTTCTCCTTCCGCAGCCGATGTGGCCTCTCCCCGCACTGATCCGTTCTCTGAAATTTCCGGGCTCCTACCGTTTTTACCGTTTTTCCCCTTCTGCCCCCCCCCCCAGCTGCGTGTAGACGCTCCGGCGGCGCGCCAGCTGAGTTGGCCTGTGGCGGTTTTGTTGAGGATGACCCGCCTGAACACCCTTAGTGCGGGGGCTTAGGGGCCCCCGCGTCCCTTCAATCTTCATCGTAGTTGAGGACCCGCCAGCGGCGGATCTCCTTGCACAACCAATAGAAAGCGCGAACGTCAATCGCTGCTCCCACCAACCTCCGGCGGTTGGCTTCGGTCAACCCTGGTGCCGCGGTTGACCCTGGAATGAGGCCCATTATCCGCTCTCGTTCGTTGGCGTTGGGCTCATCCCACTCCCGCTTGTTGCGGTCGTATCTCATGCCAGGCCCGGGGCGATCAGGCCCCTGGAAACGGAAGGCGTATGAACCAGGCGTTGCGACGAGGGTGGGGAAGACGCGGATTGGCTCACCGGCGACGTTCATCGGAAAGTAACCCCGAACCCTTGGGTCGTCCTCCAGGGCACTCTGCACCGTGAGGAAGGGCTCCAGCACGTCCCTGGCTTCAACCTTGTTCATCGCTTGACCGCAATCGTACTCGTCGTAGCGAGCCTGAATCAGGGGTCCCGGCGCTAAGTTAGTCCAGAAGGTGCGCACCCTGTGAGCCGCAGAACCCAACTTAGCCGCGTCAATCAGAATTCCCTGCCCTGGTTGTCCCCCGCAGATGGCGTCCAGCTGCTCAAACCCCCACCGCGCGGGTGGAGAGGGGTGGTCACTTGCGTCGACCATCTCGAAGATGAAGCCCACGTCAAACCCCCATGGACGTTGGATTTGCTGAAGCGTGTCCAAGATGCGCCAAGCCTCAACGATCAGGCCTGACCGATCATCTTCCAACCCCAAAGCTTGGCGGTTGGCGCGGGAGAAGCCTTGGCAGGGGGAGGAGATAGTTACCAGATTGATGGGGTCTTGGCACTCGGAGCCGACGGCCCGCCGAAGCTCCCGCTCGCCCACCTCCCGGATGTCCCACGGCATGGAAGACTGCGTGGTGTGGAACGCCTGGGGGCCCAGCTGCTCCGGGTATCGGTGGTGCAGATCCCGCAGCCTGGTGCCGAAGGCGATGCGCGCCCCCGGGTCGTTCTCCACGTAGAACAGCCGCTTGATGTAGAGGCCCGCCCGCAGGAGGCCCTTCAACTCCGCGCCAATGCCGCCGAAGAGCAGCATGACGGTGATGTACAGGCCCTCCGCAAAGATGGGGCTGAACGTGGGGACGCTGTTGAGCCCCACCGTCTCCCGGTAGTAGGCGGTGCGGCTGCCGATAACGCTCAGCTCCTGGCCCACCGGCGGTTGCGTAAGCAGGCCCTGGGGAAGGCCGTCCCAGGGTGCGTCGGCGGCCGGAGGGACCCCGTCCTCCAGGGCGTCGGGATCCGCCTCGGCCACCGGAGCTATCTCGTCCTCCCCGACCTCCACCACTGGGGGCTCCCTCCGGCGCTGATTCTGCATTAGAAGGAGATCGTCCATCTGGGGGAAATCCCTGTTTCGGAAGTTCCCGATCCGTTCCCAGTTGCGCTCCATCCAGAACTGCTCCTCCAGGGAGCGAGGATGGACAGCCAGGAACTCGTACAGCTCGCGGTAGTAGATGTGGCTGGTCTGCAGTCGGTAGTCCCAGCCCGGGGGTGGCTCCGGCCGCCCCCACTCATCCTGCCGACGCATGTAGTTGAGCGCCGGAGGAGGGTAGCCCTCTAGGCTACCCCACAGGGGTGACACCCCATGCACCAACTCTCTGTGTGCCACCTCCTGGGGGTCAACTGGTCCCGCCGGATCAGGGATGCCCGCAAGTAGCTTAGAGAGGTGGGTGTGGCAACTGACCAGGGTCCGCTTGAACGCCGGCTGGAAGCCCCGTCGTTCTTCCCTGCTGACCACCAGGCCAGGGCGCGCCAGCAGGTACCGCGGAGTGTCCACCGAGTGCTGCATGTCGTTGCGGGTCTGGCGCCGGAGGCACGTCACGATGTTCCGCACGTGCACCGAGTTGTGGCGCTGCGCAGCGCCGTTCGCCATAACCTGCTCCAAACGTCGTGCGGTGGAGTCAGCTTCTCCACCACTGAGGCCCAAGCGCGCCGCCCTAGGGCAGACCTGCACCATGTCCTCTAGCCTTAAGGCCCTCCTTTCCCGTACACTCCAGTCTAACGCCTGGTGTAGCTGGGCCTCCCAACTGCGCACTGACTCCATCACCGCGAACTCCTCGTTGTGAAAGTCCAGCCACGCCAAGTACACCAGGATGAGGGTGTAGATTTGGGCCAGCTCCCGACGGCGCTGAACCATCTCGGGATGCCACTCCGGCAACTTCCACTGCCCAAACAGAGAGTCCTCCAAGTCCGTTGCAAGCCGGTGAAGTCGCGCCCTCTCCTCGTCCCAGTTAGAGCGGCTCACCGCGGAGCGCCCAACTTGGCCCGTCGCGATGTACTCCAACCACCAGATCCACCGCTCGTCCATTGGGTATGGGGCCACGAAGCGGAAGTCGGGGTCGTCCCTGTAGTAAACCCCATGCCACCCTTCATGCTCCACCGCCACTACCGGCGCTGGGTCCCCCAGCCGCTCCAGCTCCATCTGCCCGACGGGTTCTAAGTCGGGCAGGCTGTCGGGCGTGCTGCTCCGGCTACTGTCAGGGCTGGCCATCTCGAGGAAGTCTGGCAGCTCGTTCAGGTCTGGGATGCTCCCCGCCGAAGAAACTACCCCGCTCTCATCCTCCGAAACTAAATCCGGCAGGCTTTCCAGTGGGGTGGGGGCCCGCTGCGGCCCGTACACTCTCCATCTGTCTACCCCCCCCTGGCGGAGGAGCATGGAGTTGTAGAATACTTGGGGCATGTGCCGTGCCCCGGTTTCTCGCTCATACCGGATGGGTATGAAGCCTTCGGTATTTCCGGCGCCCTGTGGCCCTTCCCGCCAATGGAGCCGGTACCGGAACTGCTCTCGCCAGGCATCGACAATGCCGCCCAAAGTCCAGAGGACGACATTGCCCACCAGAAAGTCGTACGGTGCGGCCGTGATGACCGCGCGTACCTTCAGGACGGTGTCGGTTTTTGTCCCGGGGTTGAACCGGAACACCAGGGGCTCGCGTGTGACGCCGAACATCGCCGACACTTTGTCGTCAGCCAAGCCCAGGCGCACGGCGTCCTTGATGACGTCATCGTCTGTGAGGCCGAGCTGGGCTACCCCGGGTTTGCCGACGAGGAGGGGCATGGCGCCGGTGTCGAGGATGGCGACCCCACGCAGGGGCTTGCCGTTGATCAACACCTCGCTCCTCGTGTTGTGGAAGATGGGGGCGCGCACGCGCTCGCGCGCCCGGTTCCCGCGGTACGCTGGTAGGTTGCGTACCTTCTCCACCAGTGTTGCCCGTGCCGCCGGCTCCAACAGCTCCAGGATGGGGTCGAGGTTGCAGGGGCACATGGCTGAGTAGGCTTCCACCGGCATGGCGATGCTTGCGCCGGTGCTGTGGACGGGCGCCGTGGGCTGAGGGGTGCCGGCGCTGCCATGTTGGGAGGCTGGGGCGTTCTGTGCAGGGGCTGCCCGGCCCGCCGGAGGAAGTTCCACACTTGGCCCGGACCCCCCTGAAGGGTGACCGGGCCCAGACCCCGGGTCGTCATCCTTGGGGTCCCGCTGGGGCTGAACTCCCGGGTGCTCGTCCGGCGGGGGAATCCCGTACTGCCTCTTCCTCAGTTCTTCCTCACCGGGTTCCGGGGAGGAGGGCGGGGTTTGGGCGCCAGGTGTGCGACGGATAGTCGCCTCCTGCAAGACGTCCTGGAATTTCTTGAGGTGTTCTGGCCCTCAGTTAATGGGTGCCACGGTTTTGCTATACACCTCCCGCCCAACCCGTATGGCAATTTCTTGGGCCACCTGTTCCCATGGCACCATCCGATTTTCGACATTGCAGGACCCGGCAGGCGCTGCGTCAAAGACGGCTGAGCCTGAGGGGACCGCCAGAGGGACTTCTGGAGCGACGTCTGTCCCCGACGCTAAAGCCCCGCCCCCTCCTAGATCTTTTCCCCTGTCTCCCGGGCTGTCTCCCTTCCCGCCGGCTTCGTGGCCCTCGCCGTTACTGCCCGTCCGTTCCCCGGTAGGCTTCCCCGGGGCTAAGGGTGTTCCTTCTGGCGCCGGCGGTTTGGCGGGCGCTGGAGGCGGGGGTGGCGGCGGTGGCGGCGCCAGTGGAGAGGAACTGGGCCCCACATGGACCGTCTGCAGGCCCGGGTCCTCAACGTTGGCCATGAAGGCCTCCACGGCTGCGGGGTCAGCCGTCGGTCCGAAGCTGGGGACGGTGTGTCCGCTGCTCACTGCTCCGGCCGGCCCAAAACTCCGTTCAGAAAAAAAGAGAAGAATATGGGCGGCTTCCGTATCCGGGTGTTGAACGAAGTCAGGAAGCTCAGAGAAGACTCCCATATACGAGGAAGAGGGTGATCGCACCTTCCCATTTTGTCCTTGTGCGGCCCCCTCTTCAAAGTCTTCAGGGGGGGTGGAGTAACCATGCTGGTCCTCCCCGCCCAGGAGTGCTGCCGCCTCCAATGGCGCAACCGCCTTCGCGGCGGGCTTTCCCCCCGTCTTCCGTGTGGGGCGCTGTTTGCGCCCCTCACCCGCCGTGTCCGCTGGGCCTTTCCCTGAGCTAGCCGGGGGTGGGATTTCGGCAGGCGGGCTGGGGGCTCGTCCTCCGGCCGTCTGCGTTAGGCCCCCTTCCTCCGGCCCGGTTTCCGCCGGTGGGTTGGGCTCCTTGGTCCCTTCCGGCTGCTCCTCCTCGGACGGGCTCGGTTTACGTTCCGGTTCCCCCTCCGGCGGCCACGGGGCCCGCTCCACCCCTTCGTCCGGCTCTTCCCCCGGCACGTCGTTACTCACCGCTCCCCATCCTCCGAGGGCCATCGTGTCGTTCATGAGCTGCCCGTCGTACATGTCTTCCTTGTGCCCAATGGGAGGTCGCCATCCCAGGTAGTAGGTGTTGGCCTCCCGCCGGAGGAGCACTTGCAGCTGGCTCAGCTTCTGGGGGTGCGCGTTTCCGCTCCACTCCAGGCCTGCGACGCGCTCCAGGGCGATGTTGAGGGCGATCTGCTCACGGACCTGGGACTCCGAGGGAAACCTGTTCCCAGCGGGCGGAAGTCCATAGACGAACGGTCCCCCTTCCTTCCAGAACCATCGGGTTTGCGCCTCGTAAGAGGCGGGGTAGGGAACGGTGGAGAACTTGGGGTAGTCGGCCGCACGCGGCGCTCCGGCCTCGTCCAGCCACCGCTTCCAGACTGGGTCCTCCCCGACTGCTACTTCCTTCTCCGGCGGCACTGTCGGGCGCCCAGCTGCTGCTTCGGCGGCCGGGTCGAAGTCGTCACCTGCGTAGGAGTACCATGGCCGGCGGTGAGTGGCGCTGTTCTCCTCCGCAAAGCCCGCCCGCTTCGCATACGCGATCTCTACCACCCTCCCGCGCGCCCATATGGGGTCGATGAGGGATTCCCGGCGCTCAGGGGAGGCATGGGATAGGGCGAAAATGAGGAGGCCCCGGTACTCGTCCCGATAGTAGTCGGGGGACTGGTCCACCAGGGCAGGAAACTCCCGCCGGTCCGCCTCACGTTGGTAGAACGGATCCTCCGTGGTGGGCACCGTCTTGAAGACCTCGTCGAACCGCACCACCCAGTCTTCCTTCTCCAGGCCCGCCACTCGCGCTTGTGCCGCCTGCAGGTCGGGGTCGTTGTGGTTGAAGGCTCCCGGAAGGGGTCCCCCGAGGTATTCCCAGGGTTCTCCTTGGTTTCGGCTTCCGCCTCCGGCTCTCCTCCAGGACCCCCCGGCTCCGCAGTTTGCTGCTCCTCCGGCGCGTCTTCAGGGCGAACCTCAGCTTCCCCTACTCCCGTGGCTTGCTGCCCCTTGGCCTCTTCTTTGCCTTCTTGGTTGGCGGGGCGTCCACCACCGCCGTGCCCTCCTTCTCGTGCTCTGTTTCCGCTTTTTCTCCCGCCGGAACAGGCCTCTTACCCCGCTTCTCCTTGACTGCTGACTTAGGCTCTGAAGGTTCCTCCGGCGGCGCCTTCTTCTTGCCCTTGTCCTGAGTGTCGGTTTTCTGCCCAGTGGCTGCAGGGAGTGGTTTCTCCGGGGGCTTGGGAACAACCTTCTTCTCCTCCGATTGCTTGCCACCCTTCTGTGCCGAGGTGGATTTCTCCACCTTGACCTCCTGCAGGTTCACGGGCATTCCGGGGCTGATCCAGGGGTTGGGGTGGAAGGGCGGGACTTTGGATTTAACCGATCCTGATCTTGCCCACCCCTCAGCTGTGAGCGCGGCTTGTGCGCTTTCAGCTGATCCCGGTGGGAAGATCCCCCGTGATCAAAGGAATTGCATTTTAGGGCGCTTGGGGGGAGGGGTTGGGGTGCGGGTGCGTTCCCCCCCCTTTTCCTCGCTGGATGACGGCGTGGCTTCCTCGTCGTCCTCATCCGGCGTAAGGTACCCCCCCAACTTGGCCAGCCCGGCCTTGGCGTTAAGCTTTTTGCGCGCTGATTCGAGGCGGGCGTGCTCTTGGTTTGCCGTTTCAGGGCTCGCCTGCGCCAGTTTGAGCAACAGGTTATCGACGTTCTCCTCCAGCTCCCGCACCTCGATCCGAATCACTGATACGTCGAAAATCTCCACACCAGGCTCAAAGGTTAGGATGGGGCCCTCCTCCGGCGCCTTCCTCAGCCGGGCCTCCAGCTTCCTGGCCCGCCGGAGGACCTCCTTGCTCCCGTTGACACCCTCAATCGCCCCGGCTTGACGCAAAGAGCTGGCCAGCTTCCTGAGGCCGTCGATGCGCACCTGCTCGCCGGTGGGGTCGAGTCGAAGGGTGGGTGGAGGCTCCACACTGCGGGACCGCTGTCGCTGTTGGTGTCCTGTTGACAGCTCTCCGGCGCCCTCGTCCGCTGGGTCGTTCTTGGCCCGCCGTGGACGCTTGGTTTGGGGGCTGGCTGACCGGGCGCGCCGTTCTTCTCCGGCCACCTGTCGCTTCTCCCGCCCCGACCGCCGCGCCAGGATGGGCTTGTCCTCGCCCTCGCTGGCCTTACCGCCCAGGCCCTTCCGGCTTGCGGTTGGAGAAGGCTTGGAGGCACCGCCCCCTTTTGTCTCCTTGGGGCCCGGTTGCTTCGGCCGAGGGGGTGCGCCGATTGGCACCACCCGTGGGAGATTTTCCCCTTTCACGTGGGTGGGGGCGGGGGACACGCGCTTGTCGGGCTCCGTGGAGTGCCCCCCCCACTGCCCGTGTGGCACGTCGTAGTCGTCGACCTTCCAAGTTTCCCGGTAGGTGGTGTCCTCCCGGTCGTCATCGTCGCGCACATACTTCTGGTACGCGTAGAGGGGGTCCGTCCCCCAGGCAGCGTACAGATTGGCCTTGTACTGTCCCCACGGGATGACGCGCCCCCTGTTGTGGGTGTCGCCCTTCTTCAGCTCAAGCTCCTCCTCCGGCAGGGGGCCCACCTGGATAGGCGTGTTGTCGTCCCAGCCACCGTGCCACGCGTGGAGGAGTCGCCGGTGGAACAGCACCATCTCAGACAGGTCCGGCTTGGGCGGGGCCTTCTTGGACGCTGGCCGCCCGTGCAGCTCGCGGCAGTACTCAAGGATGGACCGACCCGCATAGTGCAGGGCCAGCAGGACGTAGCATTGCGTCCTGGTGGGCCGCTTGGCGAACATGAACTCCGCTGCCCGCGTGACGTACTCCCGGCCCCAGTGGGTTATGTAGCCCGCGAACTCGTCGTTGTGCATGACGGCCCAGGATTGTCGCTCCCGCCAGTCTCGTGGACTCCAGCACATGCACCTGAAATCCGGGTGCCAAGGAGGGTGACCGGTTTTGCCCCCTTGGAGGCCGGCCTTGCTCTCGTCCTGGGCTGCGTGCGCCAGCATGTAGTTCAGGTGCTGGATGAACGCCATCTGCCCCTTGTACCGCGGGGCCTGCATCGGGGGCAGGTAGATGTCCAGTTTGTGCGGGGGGAGATGCGGGTCGTCGTCCACCACCGGGTCGGGGTACTCCTCCATGGCCCAGGTGTGGTTGTCGGCGTGGGTGGGATCGGCTGCGGCCAACCACTGATCCTTGAACGGACCAGCGACGATGTTGAACCAGTTTTCGCCGAGGGTTATGACGTCGTCAAACTTGCTGATGACGGTCTCTCCTCCCTGTGCTCCGCCAGCTCCTCCGGCCGCACCGCCTGCTTCTTCCTCCGGCTCGTCCTCGCCTGACTGCTCCACTGACCCCGAGCCCGCCTGCTCGGACTCCTCCTCCACGCTCTCACGCTCCGAGTCATCCGCCTCCCCCTCCGCGTCTTCGTCTCCCTCCTCGACGCCGGGCTGCTCCACATCCTCGGGGTCATCTTCGTCCCCCTCGCCGTCGTCATCGTCAGCTCCGCCAACGCAGCGCATGGGCTTCGCAGGACCGAGGTAGGACAGGGGGATGGAGGACGCTTGGACCTCCAGACTGTAGGCCGGAGGAAGGGTCTCGAACGGGGCTGCCCGTTTAACCTGCACCTCCCGTTGGGGCCCGACCTTGGGGTCATTCAGCATGTGGACCTGCACCCCTGCGTTCTCGAGGGACTCGATCCCCTGATAGCGGGGGTCGTTGGGGGAATACTCCCCAAAGGAAGGGGGCAGCTTCTGGGCGACCAGGGGCGTTGGCTCAGGCTCGGCGGGGCCTTCGGCTTCCTCCGGCTCAGCTCTGGTCTCCCCCCCGGCCTCCTCAGCTGCTGCGACAGGGCGATCGCCATGTGGGCGGAAGGCTGGGGGTGGGCCGCCCTTCCGCAGACGATCCTCCTTGGCTCTGGCCGCCAGCCGGTCCTTCTCCCCGCGTGCCCGCGGTGCCGTGGTTGTCTCGCGCTGCGCCTTGGTTGACGCGCGCACCTCCGGCAGCTCGTGGTCTTCGTCCGCCAGGTAGACGCCCATGTAGGGGACGCCTGGCTGCTCGATGACGGCCGACCACGCCAGCTCAGGGTCGAACTCCTCCGTGGCTGGCGCGTTGTGCTCCACCGCATCGGCGGCGTAGGCATGCTTGGGGGCTCCGCGGTTGCTCCGGCCGCCCGCACCAGGTTTGCCCTTGCCGCTGTCGCCGGACCCGCGCCACTTCTCCGGCCGCTTCTCGGGAATCGCCTCCCAGCACTCGTGGGACTCGTGGGAGTCCCTACGCTTGCAGTGCTTGCAGACCGCCCCTGGCATCCGCGGCCCCTTTGCCTCCGGCTTCTTCTTGCACTCCGTGCGTGTGTGGCCGTACTCGCCACAGTTGAAGCAGTTGCCCTTGAACCCCGTTCCCAGTGCCGGAGGCTCCATGGCGGCTAAGGCTTGCTTGGGTTTTCCCCGGCCTCGCCGCTCTCTCTCTTTGGGACCGCGTTCTGCTCGGGGTTTGTTGGACTCTCTCTGAGAGCCCGGGGACTTGCTGGAGAGGCTCAGGTCCTGCAATTTGGAGGAGAGGGGTTTGCCGGTGGTTTTGTCGGCCCGCTCCAGCTCACGTGCATGAAGAGCGTCCTCCACCTGCCTGGCCTCTTGCTCCAACTTGTCTAGGGTACAATCGGCAACAGCCCACTTGAGAACATCGTTCTCTATCGCACGCCGCACCTCCCCCCTAAGCGCTTTCAACGCTTTCTCAGTCACCTCCCTGCCGATGGTGGGCTTACCGTTCTTCCGGCAGAGCTCCCGCAAGAGGTGAAACGTGGCGTGAGTGCTCCTCCCCGCCGTGTACTTGAAGTTGAGGTATTCGCCCAGCGTCTGAGCGGTGTTCTCCGGATAGGTGGTCTGCAGGAAAGCCCAGGTTTCGGTCATGAGCGTGGGGTCCCCCTTTGCTACCTTCCGTGGCCAGGAAGGCACTGGGCCTGGCGGCGCGTCCGTGTTCGCCTTCCACTGCTCATGCCACTTCTCTGCGAGAAGTTTCTCCTCTACCTTCCGGTTTTCAGCCTCCACTTCCTCCCGCGCCTTCGCATTCTCTTCCAGACGCGTACGGAATTTATCCTGGAGAACGTGGTATGCGTCCCCCTCACAAAGATCACTGCAAACTTGTCTTCATCAGTGAGAGTGGCCGCCGTAGCACTGCGGCGAGACCGGATAAGCTGCAGGCGATTCTCATAAGTGAGCCGGAGGTCTGTGACACTCTGGCCCCCTACACGCCCACTAAACTTTCCACCGAAGCTCCCTGTGGAGCTACCCCCTGTCTCCTCCATATCCCAGCTGTCTTCCCAGTCCTCAACTCCTAAGAAGGAGACTGCTACGGCCGGAAGCACAACAGTGTTGCCCTGCTCCTCTGCCGATTCCGACGCACTGGTGGAAAGAGGGGTTTCAGGGATGATCTCACCAGCTGGGTTTTCTTCAGGTGAACCTTGACCACCCTCGGATGTCTCCGCTGCCGCCGTGGACTGTCCCTCACCCTTCGCTCCCTGCCCAAACCTCCGAAGAAAGTAAGGCGGGTCCCCTTCAGCCCCGCTGCTTTCCGCTGGCTGATCAGAGGGAGGCTGCATAAGCAATCAAAGAGTTTGCAAAATGCCCCTTACACCCTTGGTTCCTTGTAGCCAAAGGTTAAAACCTTACTCCCACACTCAGAGATGTGGTTTCAGCTGCTCCGGCGCCCGTATTACGCCAACTGCAGGAGCTCCCGAGGCCCCACCCACTGCTTACTCAAGCAATGCTGGCTACCCCTGAGCTGTGCTAGCTCAATCAACCACGTGGGCAGTCCGCCGGAGGACCGCAGACACTGGTTGGAGCTGAGGGTGGCTCACCGTTGTGGCTTGCCGCTCGGACCGAGAACCCTTGATCCCCGTACTCCTTGCACCCCCACTTAGCTTGAGCACCCAAGCAAACTGCTTGCCGCTGCAAAGAGAAAAATGATCCTCCAGGTTTGGACCAATCAAAGTTCCCCCTTGCTAACCTTGCGAGAAGCACCTAACAGCCACCACCCATCATTCCTAAAGTTGCAAGTAGCAACCATGCACAGGTTCTACAGGACATGATGGGCAAAGGGATAGCTGGTTTGGTACTCGCTTATAACCTCTCAAGCATTACACATGCCCGGTGATTCCTCATGCTCATGTTGCTTCGGCTCCAACAAAGCCACATGCTCCGGCTCGCTCATGCTATCCTCACCATGCAATTGGCCGACAGGATCGCCACGCTCGCACGCAATGCTGTTGAATCAGGCTCAGAGAGAAGGAAGCTCGGGCGCCATTTGCTTGAATCAAGAGAGAGACTTGCAACTTTAGGAATGACACATCCGGTCGCAAAGTTCGCACCTAGTGTCACTCTAACAGTACTGCACTAGCCTAGTCTCAGACCCTTGTACAGCCTAAGCCCTAGCTCTGGCTAGTCTCGTCATGGTTTGAACTCGGCCGATGGTGACATTTGGCGCGGTTCCTCCGGCAAGCCTAGCCTAGTGTACATCGAATATAGGATATACTCTAGGCTATAGCCTATGTCTGCCGGGCCTTCCTACGCTGCTCCGGCCGCGGGTGCGCGCGCGCCGCGTCCTCCGGCACGCCGCTGGTCCGGCATGGCAGGTCATTGCTTCTTTTCAGAAGATTGACTCAACCCGACGCGTAATTTGCTGCACATACATGCTTACCACATCACCTCCAACTCTGGACTGCTGAGTGTTGTTGTGATCTTGTTCAAATTGTGACTTAACGCCTCGTAAATAGACCTTACGTCGCTGTTATAGTGTCCAGACCGCCAGGAAAACAGGGTTAGCAAACTGGTTAGATCTTAACCTCTGGGTTAGTGTTTCCTCTTGGGACACAAGCATCAGGTAGCTCTGTGTTTTCTGGTCATGCCTATATAGGATTTATGTCTAGCGGTCACCCGCACCGCTCGTAGCATAAGTTCTTCCGAGGGGGTCAAATCTGCTGTTACTGCTGATTTCCTGACACTAGATTCAGAATTGCCTTGTGTTCTGTAGCAGATTCTGAAGCAGTGTCAGACTGGATACCATAGGTTCAGGAGAGTCCTGCTTAATGCTGTAAAACTCATCAAACTCTCTCTCTCCTCATTTCTTCTGGACTTGGAGTGTTGAGACATGGAGTGTTGAGACAGGTATCATACCCCCGGCGCAAGGCGTGTTTGACAGTCTGTAATTTCTTACTTGAGAGCGCACCTGCTTACGACTCGTGACTAACTCCCGTGGTGTTGCTATGTGATTTAGTTGTGCTAACTTCCCCCACACTTACAACTCTGTCACCATTGACGTTACCACGCCTGTACCGCCTGTGAAGTGCACCAAGACGGCGCTGGATTACCTAGACTACTTGACTACGTCGTCGCTAGAGGTAGGTCTTCCATCACAGTTTCTTATCTGAGTACTGTCTGCCCGAGTGTTGACTTTAGCTCAGTGACGTTGCCCCAGTTGCTGTCTGTGCACTGTGCACCTCCGCCAGTCAGTTGCTGCACCTCTGTCAGTTGTTGTGTTGTATCTTGCCAGCACGCCGTCAGTCGGTTTCGATCTCTGCCTACTTTGTGAGTGGCTGACCTTGGTATGTGACTCAAAGGTAAACGATCCTGAACCCGGTTCGTTTGACGCGGCCAGCAATATTAGTTGACGCATGTTAACCGCTAGTTCTCGACCGTTCATCTAGCTCGTAGTTTGCAGGGGAACGAGGCCTGTGGATGTCCTCTTAAATCGCAGCGAGTCTGTGTTCGGAGGGTGTCCCGTCTCAATCCACCTTTGCTTGTGATAGGACAATAGCGATCTGCTCAGCTGCAGTCCGATTGTCATAGTCCAGAAAGTCGCACTCATACAGTGACGCTTTCTGCAGAGCTGTTGGAGCGTTTCGAGTAGTGATACCTTCTGGTGCCCCTTCCGGCGGCCAGTGGTCCGTGAGTTGGAGAGTCAGGGGCCCCACGGTCCTTAACTACGCTGGACAGCCAGACCCTCAGTCGGTGCTGCGCTACACAGGTAGGCCCTCCAAGCACGCTTTCCGACATAAGGTGCTCTTTGCGACCTTCGTAGTTATTCGAAAGTTGGCAGCGACCAACTCAGGAAGCTTCGAGTCTACCACCAGGTTCAACGAAGTTCCTTATTTTTGATTGGTGCTCTCTGAAGTGATCGATCATTGACAAGTGCTTCAGTAGCGACTTTGTCTTTACAGCTTGGGTTCAATTACAGCCCTGCTCAAAAAACCGGTAACGAGACCGTTTTCTTACCTGCGCGTGTCCCAGAGTCTGACACTCTGACGGGACTGACCCTTGCGCGCTGTTGACTTGCAGATTCTCTTGCTCACAACCGCGGAGACCGTGGTTTCCCGCACGGGGGGAGAAGGAATCTGACGTGGCGGCCCGTGGCCCCACTAGTTAATGTTGGTTTCGGGTAGTTAGCGAATTTGGCACCTTCTCGTTCATGAGTTGGAGATACAATTTGCGTAGCGGTCCTGAGTTTCCACACCGCGACCCGAACGTCGGACTTGGCAGTGACACTGGCCTTGATAACATTGATTATAACCAAGGCAGTAGTTCGAGTCCGACCCCTCATTCGCCGCGCGAATTATTGCACGATTCCGGGCACTCTGATTTTGCACCGCAGCTTGTGCGTGCATCATACTTGCCGACAGGCGCGCCCGCCTTTGTCGAGCCGTTTGATATAGCCGAATTAGACACCATGTCGCTACTGAATGTACAGCATGGTACATGACTCTTTACGGGACTCCCGGACGGCCCAAGTATCTTGCACTTGCGCCAGAATTATGCGACGCTCAAGACGGAGCTCAAGCTCAAGCCGAATTCTGAGCTTATCAACGATAATGACAGGTTCAACCTGCTCATGAAGTTCTTAGCCGGGGGGGCACGCGATCAGGCCGCCCACCTCGAGCGTGAGATGCGCGAAGAACTGCGCACCCGGAATGCTGCTCAGGCCGACTTATATCTGCGGAATAAGACGGCATATGAGAAGGCGAAGACCGATTATGACGCTCTGTCAGCCGAAGCTAAGGCAGCCGCGACCGAACCGGTCCGGCCGGAGCCGCATGTGGACGCAGAGGTCTATGATCAGCCGGTCGAGAAGTTCTGGGCTATGATGGAAAAGCTTTATCCAGAGAAGTCAACGACTCGGATGGATGAGTTCCGCTATTTTGCGCGACGCTCCGAGGAGACTATCGCTAGCCTCGTACAGCGCATGCAGTCATTGAAGCATGCCCTCGACCGCCCAGAGGAGATGGCCGTATTCAAGCTCATAGGAGCTATGCCCCGCCACTTGGGCGAGGAAGTTACGCGCCAGTTGAACGCCACAGCCATGGAGCCTGAGGAATGGACCATTGAGCTCGTGGGCCGGGTTGCAATTAAGCCTTGACCGCGCCACGACTCAGGCCAGCCTGTGGACGACCAATATGCAGCCGAAGGCTGCGCAGCCGCGCCATGCAACCGCACAGCCAGCGCCGACTGCAAGGCCGAATGGCCGCAGGCAGGAGGGCCCCCATGATCATGCACACCCCAAGCACGATCATCGGGCCATCATATGCCACAACTGCGGAGAGGCGGGTCACAAACGGCCCCAGTACACTAAGCCGCTTATGGTTCGGGGAGCTTCGGCTCGCACCGACGCCAGAGCAGGCTCTAAGGATCCGAAAGGGGTTCAGTGCTGGCACTGCCTACAGTACGGCCACATGGCCGCGCAGTGCACAGACAAGCAAGCCGAGGTCTCTCGACCTGGCGCCCCCAAGATGTGGTGCGATATCCACAAGCTGGATTCGCATACCACTGCTGATTGCCGAGCCGCCCCGCGCGCCAAGAGCGCCAGGCCGGCCGCTGCCCGGGCTGCTCAGGCACCCGCTAAGGACGATCGGGGTTTGCCCGAACCTACCCTGGCACAGCTCAAGGAGCTTTGGGAGGCTCATCACAACCCAAATGCCTACAAGGCCACGATTGTTCCTGCACTTGGCGCCCATGTAGCACCGGTGCACTCACGACTTACCAAGAGAATTGTGGACAAGGATGAGAGGCTCAGAGGGCCGTTGGACAATATGCAGCTCAACTTCATCCCAAGGGACTTCCTGCGCGAGCCGCACAGGCCGCCGCCTGGAATGATGACGGTACCTGAGGGTATGGTGCCTGTCCTCGAAGCCGAGCCGGATGCGCGCACTGCGCCAGAGCCTGTTCACCCTGAGCTGGTACCAGTTGAGATTGCTCCTGGTCCGACCAACGACCAGGCTGTGCTGCCGTCCCTTGAGACGCCGCCGCCTGCGCCTAATACTGTCACTGATGACACACTGCCCGCCAGCTTCACTGAGCTGCCGGCAGATGCACCCGCGCGCCAGGGCATGGTGTACGCACCAAGTGTGCCACAGCCCGCGCTGACACCTGAGCAGGAGACTGCGCCGACGCGCCGAGGCAAGCCTCGGGCCGCGCTTGCTACCTCTCAGGACTTGTACAATCCAGAGAACCCGAACATTAGTGCGCTGCTCAGCCACTTGCCAGGAAGCTATCACAGCGACCAAACGGCCGGGTTCCACCGCTCGCCGCGCATTGACAACTCAGGGCTGAAGCCTGCGATGCTGATCAATGGGCGCGCGCTGAACAACTTGCTGCTGGACAGCGGAGCCGAGGCCGCAGGTCGCTCGGGCGCTGCCGCTATGGGTATCACACCCGACGTGATCGCTCCGAATGCTATCATGATCCGCACCGCTACCGGTAACTTGACCGAGCGGTTGGATCGAACGAAGGAGCCAGTCAGCTTTGTGCTGAACCCTAGTACCGCCGACGAAGTCACTGTCACGGCGCATGTGGTTATTGTAAACCAGCAGGCCGCCGACACACTGATCGGTATGAGTATCATTGGACCCGTGGGTCTTGATCCCAGCTTCAGGAAGAAGCGCGTCAAATACTACCTTGAAGGAGATGGACAAGCGCCCCGCAAGTGCTTCTTGCGCGCCAAGTTTCCAGTCGATTACGATTCTCCCTTCGCCAATCCAGGCGGCCAGGTGCTTCAAGCCCTCGTCGGCACTGTGATATCTCGGATTCCGAGCCCGCGCAATGCGCAAGACATTGAGTTCGCTCGCAGCCGCATCGCAACCTTTCAGGCAAAGGCTCTGCCAAAGATCACTGATATCTTTGACCGAAGCATGCGCGTGCTAGCCACTCCAGACAGGGCCCCTCCTAAGATTCGGAACCCTGCATACCAGCACCTGCGGCCCCTGAGCCAAAACCTGGTTGACCTGAAAGACAAGCTGGCCACACCTGGACCAGGCTTGGTGGTCTTGGAGCTGTTCTCCGGCCTCATGGCCACAACCGAAGCGCTGTGGCGCCAAGGGATTACCGTTCGCAAAGTCTATGCATGCGAACTGGACGCGAAGACCAGAAAGATCGCCATGAGGCGACTGGCCGTCCTGCATACGCTTTATCCTCAGCTG